GACTGACTATATTGCTTATAATTAGTGAGTTAATTTCATAAGACTACCTAAGGTATTTTAAATGTGATTTTCATGGATTATTAATGATTAAAAATGCCTAAATGAAAATACTATTTGCCTATGAATAGATGAAGCATGATATACAAATTTAGAGAAAATTGTGTATGATTATGTGTTATGAAAATGATGACATGATGATGGAAATTAACTATGAAACATTGTGATAAAATATACTTTGACATCATGTAAAGAATTCATGAATGGATTAAAGTGATATTTCTGATATTGAGATTTAATTATATTTGGATTGGGAAATCAATTGAAACGAATTATTTGTCTATGAATTAAGAGTTTGGTCATTCTAGAATTATCCGACTAGTATTGAAATACTAGTCGAGAAGTGAATACGAATAATGATAGAATTAATCCTAAGGGATTGGAATATGAATAGTGATGCCTTAAGTAGTCTTAAGAGATACTTTAAGGATGAATTGTATGAGCTCTAAGGTATGTTAGGGGTAGGCCTTGTAGGTTACTCTAAGTGAATGGATTCTAAGTATAGGATTTGCCTGAGAATTGGACTAAAATGATGAATTAGAGCCGGACTCTAGAATTACATGTAAACGTAGTTGGGCCGAGCCATTGCCATGTAATTGTGAAGTACATGGAAACATAGTTGGGCCGAGCCCTTGCCATGCATTAGTGAATACCATAGAAACGTAGTTGGGCCGAGCCCTTGCCATGAAATTGAAGATTGCATAGAAATGTAGTTGGGTTGAGCCCTTGCTATGCAATGGTGATGTGTTGAATTTAGGCTAACGGATATCATAGAAATGTAATTAGGCTGAGTCCTTGCTATGAAATCGTGGCATGATGAACTGTATGAGTTGTCGTGACTTGGGGTCACGAGAAATAGATATGGTGAACTCTAAATGAGTATGGGCCCACGAACCGTCTACTTGACTTTATATAAAGTAAGTATATTTTCAAACATGGTAACTGAGGGTTATGCCTATAATATAATATCCCCCTAGATTGAGGGTCTTAGAAATCGAAACATTGATTATATTCAGTGTAGTTGTCATTGTACTTTTCAAATGCTTCAAAGTATTGACATCCCCTTCACGGGGGAGACCACCTCACAGTTTCAGGTAGAAGTTGATCGAAGCTTGCTACCGATGCCCGTTGTTTCGGGGATATCTAGGAGAGAAGACGTTGTTCGTGCTTCCTCTGTTTCTGTTTTGAAAACAATTATATATTGATGTTAGATTTCATTTTATACGTGATATTGTTAGTGCAGGTGATATCAAGTTGATTAAAATTCCATCTGAATTTAATCCTGCTGACATGGGGACTAAATGTCTCTCTGTCGAAAAGTTGTTGTCGTGCAAACGCACGTTAAACATTGATTGCGGATAAGTTGCCTGGTGATCTTACCCCGTTTGCCTGAATGTGTCTTTGTGATCATTCGGGCAATCCAGCGATGATGAGTCTCAAATTTGTGTTAGAGCGTTGTGCTCTACACCATTATGGTCCAATAAGGTGGAGAATGTGTTAGGTATTGGCCCATTATTTTCATAAGCCCAACTCAACTTAGGTTTTCACCCGACACCTTGCTCTTTCTTCTTTCCGCACTACGCTTTTCGTTGATGGCGATCGGCTTCTTCCCTTCGCGGAACTTTCCTTGTTATGGGCAGTAATTTGCGTATCTCCTTGTTAAGGTAAGTTACCATCCTTATTATCTTTGCTCTGCCTATTTATTCTCTCTGGTTCTCTGCCGATTTCTGAGCTTGGCCGAAACCCTTCTTCCTAAATAGCACCTTTGTGGAGCTTTAGTTGAGTTGGCTGAAAATACATTGAAGGTTGACGTCCCTTTCTTCCCTTTGAGACCTAATGGTTTGATTTCATCCTTTGTGGGTGTCAAAGAAGTGAGACCTGAGCTGGATTCGAGTTATTTCAGTAAACTTGTAATTCAAAACTCTGAATTTGCTAAGTCGTATCAATAAATTTGTTCATCTCAATTATTATAGTTCCCTTTAATTTCTGTTATGATTTTAAATTTAGAAGTCATGTATTATTTTCTATATCAGCTTCAGTTGTGATTCAGATTCTCCTTTTGACTTTTGTTTTTTTCCTTTCCACTCATGTTCTCTCCTTAATTTTGATTTGCTTCATTTTATATCCTGATTTGTTATTATTGTTTTCTGAAATATGCATACATGTCTCATATGTAAATCTTTTTTATAAACAATCAACACTGTATGATATTGCACCTTCAATTACGGTTTGTCAATGTCTGATTTTATGATGTTTTTAATGATTTGTATATGCTTTAAATTTAGTTTTCATTTACACAATTGATATTCAATAGCATGCAATAGTATCTTCTAGCAGTTTGAACTCTGTTATGTAAAATACTTTCTACTATTTCAAGTCATGTGTTGAAATGAAAAGATTTCTGAAACCATTAATGTTCCTCCAGATACATTGTTAAATACCTTATGTTTTTTTAATCACATAACTGTCAAAGTCAATTTGCATTTGAATTGTGATATCCACTTTTGAATGAAGATAAATAATATATGTTGAGTAGATAAATTTAATAAGACTTGGAAGATCAATGTTGTTTTTTTTTGTTTCTTTTTGTTGTATCATACATGTTGCTTTTTGTTGCATCATGTTGTCTTTTGTTTCTTTTTGTTGCATCGTGTTGTTCATTGTTGACTACTACTCTCTACTCAACTTTTGTAGTAGATGTAATCTAAACTACTAATGTCTGAGTAATCTTGTTACTTCTTAGGAAATGTGCAGACAGTTAGGTGAAAATAGCCATCTGTAATATTCTAGCATGGATATTAAGCGTTTGTCCTGTGTAAATCCCTAAGCAGATCCTTGAGACTTGGAGATGGATGCTTGGAGTGTCTGTTGTGCGAGCTATATACAATTATGTCTTATGTTATTCATGCCCGAGTCTCTGTGGTAGCTCTCATGAAGGTATTATATACTAGGATAAGGTGAATGTTTATTTTAACAACTTTTGCATTTACTGTTTTTTATGTGTCATTTCTTTGGTAATACAGAGAAAACAAACTAAAGAAACCAAACCCTTTTGCAGACAACAAAAGTGATAAATTTAAATTTCTTTGCAATAAAATGTCATATATAGATTTATATACAATTATCTAAAGTGATAAATTTAAATTTATTAATACAACCTACAATAAGCACAAAGAAACAATAGGAAACATAAACAAAAAATATTAAATGTTGCAACCATTTAAAAAATTACTGAGTTACAAAAATCATTTTTTGTAATTTTACAGGGGTAATGTTTTAAAATTTTATTTTCATTTTTCACATTCTTATTTCTATTTCTTATATTTAGACATTTTATCATTTTTTTATTCGGTATTTAAATTTCTTAGTGTTTTTTTATATATTCATGCTTTTCAAAAAAATATAGTGATTGTATTTTTATTGCTTATTTTATTTTGTCATATAATATAGTGATTGTATTTTTATTGCAGATGCATAAAAGAAAAGAAGAACATGAAGCACTGAGGGATCAATGAGAAAAAGAAGACAAGAGCCGAAAGTATATGATATGTTAAAATGCATAAAAAGAGGAAATGATAAGAAGCAAATCCAAATGAACATACTGGATAAATGTAATGAATTGAATTATATATTTATTGTGATAGTTTTATATATTATTTTTTTTTTGCTTTTTGTTGCATTATGTGTTTCTTGTTGTTGCATTGTGTTTTATATTGTTGCATTGTGTTGCTTATTGTTGCTTATTATAATTGAATTTGATTTTAGATGTTTTTTTGTTTAATTTCTACTTCTTTGCTATTTCTCTGGAATAAAAAATCATTTGTTGATAAAAAAATCATCTAAAATGATTAATTATGATTTCTGAATATCAAAAACTGCAAGAAATATAAATAAACAATAAAAAACAAATTATGGAAAATTTGCATAAAAAATAAACATAAAGAAACACAAAACTACAACATGCAACATAAATTATAATAACGATTAAACTTTGTAACTCCTAACAAAATTAATCAAAATCATACTTTGTAATATTTTCAACTTTCTTATATTTTTACTATTCTTTTTAAAAATGAAAATCGAGTTTTATACATTTCTATATAGTTTTTTGGATTCATTGCTTTTTCTGATTTTTTTTAAAATTTTCCACTGTTTGTCTTTTTTTATTTTTATTTTAGGTTTTTTAATTTTTATTCTTTTTTTTGAGTTTTTAATTTTTCCTTTATTCGCAGTATTAATTTTATTTTCATTAATTTTTGTAATTTTCTCACTATTTCAAAATTTAATAAATTTTTACATTTTTTTCTAGTTTTGATTTTAAATAAAAAAAAAGTACTACCTCCGTTCCCATTTTAACTTCCAAATGGGTTTGGCACAAAGTTTAAGATAGTGGATATTGTGTGGTGGAGAGTTGTGCAGAAGAGAGAGAAATGTGTAAGAAAGGTTGTGAACCACAAATTCTTTATCAAAAAGGAAAAGTGGAAGTTTTAATTGGAACAGAAGAAAAAAGAAAGTTGGAAGTTTATTTAGGAACGGAGGGAGTAATTCTTAAGTTTCTTTTTCCATATTCTTTATGTTTTCTCTTATTGTAATCACTTTTACAGTTTTTTCCAGCTTTTAAATTCACAATTTCTAGTATCCAATGTTTCTAAAGATTCCATATTTGACAACATTTTTACGTGAGAAACATTTCTTTCTTTAGTTATTCATCCTAAGCAATGGGATAAGGCTTACAAATTAACGTATATGGCTACGGGCCTTAAGTCTTAAAGCCTTAAGCCTATTTCTGAAAAGAAACTTCATCTTGTCTATTTTTAAAAGAAATTTTGAAAAGTGAAAAAAGTGATATTATTTTCATTTTTGATCCATTTGTGAAAAATTCCCTATTATATTCAATTTAAGCCCACAAATGGGTCTTTATGCGGAGGCCCATCCCGTAGCCGGTTTGAGAACATGTTGGTGTTCTCAAAAACGCACCTCCTCCTTCCTCCAAATGTCATAGCGAAGTGAAGAGCATAGTCTGATGAGAGTAAAATGTAGAGAGCAAACTGTCTTAAATAGCGAAGTGAAGAATCCATACGCTGGCGTTTTCGGACAATGGGTCAGTGCATACTATATACACATAACATATATGTTCTGAATCTACTCCCTTAGCTTGCTTGTAGCTAGTTTCTCATTATATGTCATCCATCCAAAAAGGCCAAAAGCACAGTACAGTGAAGAATCCGTTTTGTTAGTTCGTTTGATTTTTTGCATGGAGGATTCCCTGTTCTTGAAGACAGTTTTAAATTATACTACATAAAGATGGATGGATCATGGATGCATGGGCTGATGTTTGGTTGTGTTTGCGATGAAAATTGATGGTTTTGCTGTGTTGATTAAAAAAAAATGATGATGATGATATTTGGAATGGATTGAGGCTGATGATTAATCTATCATCTTCTTGAGGCGATTGTTTCAAGGACGACGGTGTCTTCAAAATTAAAGTAGGTAGCTAGATTTCAAGGAAGGTTAAAACTTCATTCTCCGAACCACAAATGGAGTCCGCAAATGAAATCTGGGAATCGCATAAGAGGTTGGGAGAGAAAGTGGAAGGGTTGGATGCAGACGTGGTTGCTAATGAGACATTTGTTTCTTCTTCTTCTGCTGCTGGTGGGTCGGAGCCCAGCACCATTTTAGGCCCCTGCTTTAAGTCCAATTTCCCTTCGGAGCTTTCCCCATTTTACCCTCTAGCACAAGGGGAGAAGCTCTTCTTCCACAGCTCACTGCCCCTTGAGCCACCTGAGACGGGTGGTGGGTGTGGCAAGTGCTGGCCAAGTGTGAACCGGAGCTGGACCGATTGGGTGGAAAAGGTAGAAAGGTCCAAAGGCCGGGTCTGGAAATCAGCTGGGATCTATGACGCTATCCACCTCTCCAAAATGGATATCCCCCTTGACCGGAACCTCATTCACGCCGCCTTGTTCTTTTGGTCAGTCTCAACCAACTCCTTCCATTTCAGGTTCGGCATGATGGGCCCCACGGTGCTCGACATTGCTGCACTGACCGGCCTCAGACCGCACGGCGAGGACGTCAGCGCCATTCTTAGTGGGCCTGAACCTCCACCCACCATGAAAAGCAGCTGCGGCAGCGACAAATCCGCAGTGGCGGAGGATGAACATGTGTCTTTTCTCGTCGAGTGGCTCTCCAAGTACCTCTTTTGCGACCCCTCAGGGGGCAGGGGCGGGGAGTTCACCAAATTGGCCTTTGCTCTCTCGGGCGGGAGAAAGCTCGCCTTGGCGCCTCTAGTCTTGGCCAGTCTCTACGGCGTTTGTAGAGACATTGTTGTGAACAATTATAAGTGTGACAGCGGCGGCCCGTTATGGATATTGCAGCTCTGGATACAGTCCTACTTTCCCGAATTCCGCCCTCCGGTTTCGGCGATTGTGAATTCCCGAACGTACGGATACCCTTTGGCCAAAAGCGGCGTGCTGAGGCCTCACACTTTCAACCAGTGCTTCACCTTCTTCCTCACGTGCCCTTCTAGGACCCCTGCCCAGTTCACCCCCTTCTTTCACAGCACTTGTGGGCCCGAGTGGTTCAAGAAGTCAGTAGACCCCGCCTCACGGGAGCTTCCGTGGAAGGAAATGAACGAAATCTGGGGCTCCTATCTCCTCCCACGCCACCTCCGTTGCCTCGGGCCAGCCTCCGCTTATTCTCCAAACCAGTTTGCCCGACAGTTTGGATTGACACAGGCGGTCCCCCTCCCGTTGTGCCACGCCCCCGAATCAACTTATGATTTGCTGAGGAGGAAGTTCTGCTTGGTTTCTTTTAAAACCGAACCCAGATCTACCTGCTTCTTTGATTTCTGGTGGTCCGCTTACATACGGCGGCGGAGCACCAATAGGACAACTGGTACTAGCGTGGCGCCGCCGCCAGCAATAGTTACTCTCACTTCACATGCAATGAGAGCAAGGTACGAACAGTCTGCTGCTGCCAGCAACAAGAAAATGAAGCGTCAAGGTATATGTATATATATAATTTCTGCTCTCCACCAAGCTAAGCCTAATAATAATAACAATAATTTGTATTCCAACGGTTGGTTGCTTGATATACATACATGCATACAGGGAAATCTGTTCCCTCACAAGCTGAGATTCTTAAAAAACGAAACATCTCACATAACAAGCCAGCAGTCAAGTCGAAGGGGAAAACACCAACTCATGTAAAGTGGTTTCACTCTTTCACTCATCATTTCTTTATGACACTCTTTTACCTTACACACATATCACATATACATAGCCTACCTAGTACTGTATATTACAAAAACGTAATACTTCTCTGCTTTCCCTCCCTAAACAAATACTCCGTTTATATATTATACGGCATATCCTGTTTAATTTACGCTTAGAAAAATACCGCTGCAGCTTTCAGCAGCAGCAGCAGCACATAGAGAAGGGTCACCCCTGCCGCCGCCTCTATCAGGGACAAATTATACTACTCCTGTCAAATCTGTTCCCACATGCTCTACCAAGCCTTCACAAACTGAAATGGACAAGGTCACAAATATGCCTGTTTTGGGCGATGATGCAACCTCTATCACCTCATCCTTCACTTCCGAAGATGTAAACTCACCATTCTTCATCTCTTATTCCATATTTCTAGTTACTTCTTTGATCTTATCAGGGTGAGTTTGTTAACATATCAATGATCACTTATTTTCCAATTACCGTAACAAACACGTGCTCACACACATGTGATCATTTGAATCTACTGAGAATATGATGTAATGTAAGATATGAGAATGAATCTTTTTTTTAGATTTTGGAATTGCACATTATCTTAAATCAAAATGTGCACCATAATGGGAAACACAGTGACATTATTGTAGATAAATTGAACTATTCTGAAACACTAATGTGCACGCCATTAACAAAATGTGCACTATTTTGCACCATTTTCATTTTCAGTCAGTGCCCATAACTAATGGTAGTGATGCATTTTAGTGTCCGACTATGAAATGATGCAAATAGATTATGTTGACTTGACTTTGAAAATTTTAAATATTAAATGTACTTAGTTTAAATACCTAAATGCATCTATACTAATAAATATTGTACCATTTATACATTTAGCCCTACATACTTGGCATGGAAAGAGTGTATGAATTAATTTACTTGTACTTTCTTCTATTTCCAAGGGAAATGCTTCTAAACTTTAAAACAAAAAATTACTGGATCAGGAAGAAGTGGCCGTAATGCCTGAGCAACCATTAACCAATAGTAGTGGCGGGAAAGTGATACCCGACGAAACCATACAAGTTGACGACGTGGACGACTTTTTTGCACGCGTGGAAGCCCAACTAAGGAAAGCCCAATCTCTCAGCTCTGCAGCATGCCATTCTCCATCCGTAGCAGCAAATGATGAACCTCCTTCTGCAGCCGCACTTGCAAGAGCCAGAGATGATATATGTAGACTTGTATCGATCCCTTTCCAGGATGTTGTTCTTGTGCCTGAAAACTACTCTGCTCTCAATGCTGCACTCTCTGTATACGCCGCCGCTGATCGCTGCTCTATTGGAGATGATAATGACACTTTGAAGAAACTCCAGACAACCCTTCCGGACCTGTGCTCCACTCTTCGTCGGGGAAAGAAGGATCAGGCGGAGTTCTTCGCAGAAGCTGAAAAGAAAGCGCTTCTTATCGAGGAGCTAAAGAAGGCCCAGGAGCTATACTTCAACCTGAAGGATCGCCAGGATAAAATCCTTTCTGCCATGGATTCTATTAAGAACCAAATGAAGGAACTGAAGAGGAGCTGGAAGGAGGCCAAGATGAAAACCAAAGCAGTTCAAGTCCAGAAACTGAGTTTGGGAAAAGATTGTTTCGCTAAGTGTTCCGCTTTAGATGTAATGGAAGCTGAGTTGCGCGTCATGGAGCAGAAGAAAGAAATGGCGGATTCAGATATTGCACGAGCGGAGGCTTGTTGGACTGACTTTAAGCACAAACTTATGAAGTGCCTACTTTGATCAGCTTCTTCTATATATATATATATATATACTAATATACACGCCCTTAATAGCTAGCTAGATGCTCAATTTTCAAGGTGTAACTCACGCATGAGTTGCATGACATGTATACCCAATTAAGTACCTAGCTAGCTTAGCATGCTAAATTTGTACCGATAGTATATATTAAGCTATTTAACTCTCAATCTTGGCTTCCAAGAAAGATGCAGGCAGCATGCAGGTAAACACTGTCTTTTGCTGTGCGCGTATAAAATGGCAGACTGGTAGCTATTCATTGTATTAATTATAAAAAGTAGAACATGCTTTGATCTCTTTCAAAGGGCCGTCTAGTAAGTCCTCCAAAGAGGCTTGTAGACAAGAATATTAGGACAACAGTGCGGGACAGGGATCGATATTGTTATGTTTTTATTATGCATAGTTGGATTTTTAATTAGCTTCATTGTTTTTTGTTGTGGAAATTACACACTTTTTAGTGTAATTACTTCAGTTTTTCTAGATAGTTGTAATTTGTTTAGATTAGGAGTTTTCTGAATTTAAAAGAGGTCAAAATCATTCAAAGGATCAAGATTGGACCCCAAAAGATCAAGGAAAGTGCAAGGGGACAAGATAAAAAGAAGATTGAAAAAATATTTCATATACCACTTCGGGTATAGGCAATACACGATCGGGTATTGAGTTGATTCGGGTGTCAAAATCAAAATCTGAAGAGAACAAAAAACTTGCAAGATTTTGAAAATTTGGCTCATACGGTCATACCCGACCGGGTATGCCGACATACTTGACCGGGTATGTTCAAAAAAGTAACTTTCTGGGAAACTGCCTCAAATACCCGATCGGGTATCCTATATAACCGGTCGGGTACCAAGCCCTGTCACTTCCGAACACCTATAAATACATCCCTTTTTATTCCCAATAAAATCACCAATTCTCATATACTTCTAAGCTCACTTTAGACAAGCTTACTGGTTTTGCTACATTTTCTTTAATCATCTTCCTTGGATATTAATTACATTCCTATTTTATATCCCATATTATTATTTTGAGCATTACTTAAAAGATCAACTAGTTTTGTTTCATATTTTAATTATTACTAGAATCGATCGATTAATATGCTTGTTATTTATTCGATCCTTCCAACAGTAGTAAACTTGGATTATTAATGCATGCGTCTCATGGTTAATAATCTAAGGGGATTTAATTATATTGATTAAATCATTAAACCGCTTGTGTTGAGGCTATCAATCTCAATCGATTTCATCTTAAGTTTTATTGCTACTATCGGGTCAATATACGGCGCGTGTTCTATATTGACTTGATAGTAAGTTTTATTAATGAACACGTCTCGTTATTAATAACTACCCTCGATGAATTGGAGATACTGCACGAATGAGTATTTGAGAGGGAGATAGTTAAAGATAGAACCGGGATCGATGAACATTTCATTATGTGGAAATAAGCAAAATCAAGTCTCAATCCCTATTTTGTTAAACCACATAAGTCGTTCATCTTAGTGTTAAATTAATTAAAACAAATCAATCTTAAAACCCTCCCTTGTTACGATTTAATTAAAAGAAAGATATTCCTTTCCATGTGGACACGATCTTTACTACGCTTTATCACGACATAAGTGCAAGTATCGAATATTATTTTGAGGCACACAACAACTTTAGTGTTGCCAAAATTGGCGCCGTTGCCGTGGAAAGACAATCTTTTTTTCTTTTTATTTTATTTCAGAGAAACCCAAAAAAATTAATTAATAAAAGTATAAAGAGTTTTTACTTTTCTATTTCTGAGCTTTGTTGAGTATATGATAAAAACCCGCTCTATAAACCTACTCACATACCAAAGAAATTCCGAAATAGAACAAGTATTCGAGAGGTTGAGAAATTTATTTCCACATACACCCTCGGAAGAATCATCAATCGCTAGCTCTAGCTCTCGAGACACGGATGTTAAAGGAGCTCTCAGCTCCAAACCTCAATCAATAACCATTGTATATTACCTTTCCTACACTTGATGAAGGTACTACATTTGAGCTAAAATCGGGGCTCATCCACCTACTTCCATCCTTCCATGTTCTAATAGGGGAGGACCCGAACAAACATCTCTCGGAGTTCCATATTGTTTGCACAAGCATGTGCCCAAATGGAGGCACCGAAGAACAAATCAAATTAAGCGCTTTTCCATTCTCCCTCAAAGACACCGCGAAGAATTGACTATTCTATCTTCCTTCGGGGAGTATAGACACATATGTGTCCATAAAGAAACGCTTATGGGAAAGATACCATCCCGCCTCCGTCTCATCATCTTCAAAAAAACAAATAAGCAACATTCAGCAAAAAGATGATGAGTCATTAGAATATTGGAAGCGATTCAAAAAGTTATGTGGTAGTTTCCCATATCATAGGTACACGGAGCAAGACCTCATTCTCTACTTCTATGATGGTCTTGCGGACCAAGATAGACGTATGGTGAATGCGGCGTGTGGAGGGGGGATTATTAATCAAACCCCTTCACAAGCTAAGAGTCTCATCTCGGAGTTGGCCGAGAATTCTAGGCATTACAATGAGCGGTCCTCAACTTGAAGAGTTCTTGCGGCGGAATCTAGCATATCCACTCTGGAAAATCAAGTTGCAAGATTGACATCACTCATGAAGGAGTTTATCTTGGGGTCAAAACTCAAGAAGTGAAAGCATGTGGCATTTGCACATTGCCCGAACATCCAACCGATTCCTGCACGACTCTCAAGAAGAACAAGGCAACGCCTTGAGTTCTCAAGGACATCAACAAAAGAGGTACGATTCACACTTTAACGCTTACAACCCCGGGTGGAGGGATCACCCCAATTTGAGATATGGGAATCCTCAAAAACAATCATTCCCAAATCATCAAGGCCAAAGCTCCAACTCTAACATGTCCACGGAGGACATATTTCGAATTCTTGCTACCAACATGACCACCATGCAACAAAACATGGTACAATTCCAAAATGCGACCAAGTCTAGCATTCTAAACTTGGAAAATCAAGTGAGTCAAATAGTCAGATCCGTGAGCAGGCTTGAAGCAAAAGATTCAGGAAAACTCCCTTCTCAAACAGAACAAAATCCAAGACAACATGTTAATGCGATCATGTTGAGGAGTGGAAAAGAATTGCAATAAAGAGAGGTCCAAAGGAAGAAGACTGAAGAGGAGGTGGTTGAAGTTGAAGAGGAAGATCAACCAGGAGAGACAACCACAATGAGTCCACCCTTGTCATCATATGAACCACTACCCTCATTCCCTGAAGCACTCAAAGAGACAAGAAAGTCGGGGAGAAATGCGGATATCTATGAGACCTTCGCCAAGTGTGAGGTAAGTATTCCACTCCTTAATTTTATAAAAAGTGTCCCTCGGTTTGCCAAATATTTAAAAGAATTATGCACAATCAAGAGGACACACCGCTTAAGAGGAAAAGAAATTATTGAAGTTAGTAAACACGTCTCGGCAGTTTTTCAAAAGAAACTTCCACAAATATGCACTAACCCGGGCATGTTCACTATACAGTGCAAGCTAGGAGACACCATTTCTTCTAGGGCCATGTTGGACTTAGGGGCATCAATTAACGTGATCCTCTATACACTTTATAAATATTTGAACCTTGGCCTTTGACGTGCACTCGTCGTTAGGTGCACTCAAAATAAATAATCAATACGACACAAATACGTAGTATAGTGCAGTAAGGTTCGTATCCACATGGAAAGGAATACTTTTCTTTTATAATAGTAGTAACAAAAGGGGGGTTTAGATTTGTTTGTTTTAACAACACTAAGATAAACAACCTATATGAGTTTAATGCAATGAGATGAAGACTTGGTCTTGCTTTTATCCACTTAATGAAATGTTCGTCGATCCCGGTTATATCTTTAACTATCTTCCTCTCGAATACTCAATCGAGGAGTATATCCAGTTCATCGAGGGTAGTTATTAATAACGAGATGCGTTCATTAATAAAACTTACTATCGAGTCAATATAGAACAAGCGCCGTATATTAACTTGATAGTAGCAATAAACTTAAGATGAAAACGATTGAGATTGATAACCTCAACACAAGCGGTTTATTGGTTTAATCAATATAATTAATTCCCCTTGGCATATTAACCATGAGATGCATGCATTAATATTCCAAGTTTACTACCGTTGAAAGAACCGGATTAATAACAAGCGTATTAACCGATTGATTCTAGTAATAATTAATATGAGAAACAATACTAGTTGATACTTTAAGTAATGTTTAAGATATTAACATGAAATATGAATAGGAATTAATCAATACTCAAGGAAGAATATTAAAATATATGAATCCTACTATGATTAATATCAAGATGTTAACTAATTGTCATCTTAGTAACACTCCCCAATATTATCATAGAGGAAGAAATAGCTATTACTATGACCAATGTCAAGATGTTAACTAATTGTCATCTTAGTAACACTCCCCAACTTTGATATAGAGATAGTATTTTGAAAGAAAGAATTAATATTCAAGGAAGAAGATTAAAGAAAATAACTCACAACTTACAAATTCATTAAGCTTCAAAGTAGCAAAACCAAGATGGAAGAGTTTAGCTCCTCATTTGGAGACTAAACATGATGAAAAATATAAAGAAAGAGCTATTCTATACTGAGCTTAGATGTACAAGGGGATTGGATATCTTTTTGTGAAGGAAAGGAGGTGTATTTATAGGTTTTTGGGATGGGATTCGGGTACTCGATCGGGTATATACATGGTACCCGATCGAGTATGTGTGTAACACCCGATCCGAGGCATACTCGACCGGTTTTAGGCTATTTTCTAAGTGTATACCCGATCGAGTATATATGAATACCCGGTCGAGTATGCTTAGAAAGTGGTATTCGGGCTATACTCGACCGATCTTCGTTTGCAATTTAAAGGCATACCCGATCGGGTATGTCGGTCTACCCGATCGGGTATAGACATAGAATCGTGGCCAAAATCTTCCCTGCATGTTCCTTTGTCTTCGGATCTGATCCGATTTGAAGTTCCAACCTAATACCCGATCGAATATAGCTAATACTCGACCAAGTATAGACCAAAATTCAGGATCTTCTTTTGTCTTTGAACTTTTGCACCTTCTCTTCACTTTTTGGGTTCACCAACTGTACTTTGGGTGAACAAAACCTGCTTAAGCTCAGAATATATCTAATCTAACCTATTTACAAGAATTTAACAATCTAATCTATTACACCAAAAGTGTGTAATTTCCAA